GAACTTTAAAATTTGCAGATCATTGAACCTGAACCTGAACTGAACTTCAAATTTTGCAGATCATTGAACCTGAACCTAAACTGAACTTAAAATTTATAAACCTGAACTGAATCTGAACTTGAATTAAAAGTTCAATACTAAATCTGAACTTGACCAAAGTTCAGTTCAGTTCAGGTTTATAGAAACACTAAAATATAATAATGAAGAAAAAAGAACTATGACAGAATACAAATAAAGAAGAAAAAGAATGACAAAAGAGAAGAAGAAATAAAGTAGATATAAAAAATACAGAAGACATTAATGTGATAATGGAAACAACTATAGACAAATATGTAGAAGAAGAAATTAAAACATTAAAAATAAATATAATATAGCAAGATTGTCAAGACATAATAGCAGCAATTAGAAGTCAAGAAGAAGAAAAAAAAAGAAAAAAAAAATAGAACTATAAAATAAAGAGAAGCAACTTCATAGAGGCATCATTAGAACAAAGTATATAGTTATCTGTGAACAGAAATTGTAGTAAGAAACAAATATATACAGCAAAAATATTAGCATATAATATGCTAGATAGCTCAAAAGAAGAAAAAACAAAATTTGTAAAAAGACTACTAATAACTAACAAGCATGTGATAAAAGTCAAAGAAGTGTTTAAAAATTCTTGATATAGAAAAACATAAAAATAAAAGTAAAAAGAAAAAAAGAAGAAAAGAGAAAACAAGAAGAAAGAAGAAAGATGCAGAAGAGAAAAGAGAGATAAAAGACAAAATGAAAAGCCAAAGAGAAAAGAATCTAGGCAAAGAAACAAAAAAAAACTTAATAACACTTATAGTATGGGACCTACTGAAGGAAATCTTAGAGCAAGAGGTCAAATACCTAGTAAGAAAAATAGAAAATATATTCTCATACAAAATAAGAAGAAGCATATATAGGATGACAGTAGTAATTAAAGTCAAAGAAGAGGCTGAACAAATATTTCTATAGGTAATTAATTAGGAAATAGAAAACTAGCAAGAATGAAATAGGCAAAGAAGAAGAAAAAAGAAAAAAAGAAAAAAACAAGTTTACAGCAAAACTAAAAAAAATACCAAAAGGAATATCTGAACTAATTCTTCTAAGAGAACTTAAAGTTAGAAAGGCAATGGCAGTATACATACCACTGAATAGATAGGGAAAACCAAGAAATTATGCAGTAGTATTATACAAAAGCCAAACAGACATGAACATAGCTACTAAGAAAAAAGTTTAGTACAATAGAACTTTAATGTTCTGAGAATGCAAACCCCAAAAAAATAACAAAAAATACAAAAAGACAGCAGCAGAGAGCAAAAGACAAAAAAATGAAAGAGAAATACAAAGAGATACAAACTCAGAAGAAGAACAAGAAAATGCAAAAGACCTGATAAATAGATACAAAAAGAAAATAGAATTAAAAGAAAACAGAAGTGATTAGAGAAGTAAAAACTACAGAAATGAAGTATAAGATAGAAGAAATGTAGTAACTAAAGATTAGAGTCAAGAAATACAAACAAGAAAAAGATTGTCCAAAGAGGGCCACAAGAAAGAGCCTCACATATTAAAAACATATTAGGCCTAATACTAGAAAGATTAGAAAGACTAGAGAAGAACAGAGAAAAAAATGGGATAAAACAACCCAACTGTTCCTAAGAACACCACAGTTGAATCAACAAATATAGACAAGGAATTAAAAAGTTTTTACAAAATGAAAGAAAGGTTTTTAAAGAAAGAAGAGAAGAAACTCCTTATCAAGAAGAAAGCAGGAATGTTAAAGAGAAGAAAAAAGTTAAAAGTATGAAAATAGAATAGAAATTACTAAAAAAAAAGTGGAAAAAAAAGAAGAAAGAAATAAAACTAGCATGTTATAATATTAATGAACTCAAAACCAAAGGTTAAAAATTAGAAAATTTACTTAGCTGAGTAGAAGAAGAGAAAATTGCAATAATAAGAATTATAGAAACAAATCTTACAAAAAGAGAAAAGAAGTTCTTAAAATATGCAGTAGACAAAAGATACATAGGTTTTTGAACAAATACAGTTGAAGATAAAAAGAAAGATTCAGGCATTAGAATTGTAATCGATGAACAATAGAAAAAACATATAAGTGCAATTAAAAAAATAAACAAATATATGATAAAGATTACATTATACTTCAAACAATTAGAATTAGTTATAATTATACTATATATACCACCAAATGATAAGGTAGTAGGGAGAAACATTCAACAAAAAATTGTAGAAACAGTCTTAAAAAGGAAAAAACAAACATAAATTATTATAATGAGTAATTTTAATCACACAATAGACAATATTTTAGACAGATAATATTCACAAATAACAAACTACAAAAGGTTGCCAATCTTTAATTAGATGAAGAAACAAGACTTTAGAAACATATATAGAGACTTGAATTCAATAGGTTAGCAATACATGTAGTCAAATAGAGAAGTAGCAACAAGAATTAATTATATATAAATAACAGACAGTTTAGTCTTAGGCTTACAAAAAGCAGAAGTCGAAGAGGTAAAAGAGATTACAGAGAGTGATCACAAAATAGTAATAGCAAAAATATAGATTAAACATATGATAGCAGTCAAAAGCAAAATAAAAATTAAAAGAAAGAGACAGTCAAAAACAATATACTTATATGATTAAGCAAAATTGAAAATTGAAAAAATTATATATAAGAGCTACAGAATCAGTTAGAATTAAAAAAGGTTCTAAAAGACATTTACAAAAAAGAACAAAATAAGAAGAGAAAAACAAAAAGAATAAATAATATATAGAATGTAATAGAGAAAGCTATTATTATGGCAGCAAATAAACACATACTTAAGAAAAAAGTATTTAACATGATAAGTAACAGAAAAAGAAGTCAGAAGAAACAGAAACAAGAAAAAAGCATTGTCAAGTTACAGAAAATAATCAAGTATGCAAAAGCTAAAAAAACATAAGCAGTAACAGAAAAGAAAAGAAGTGAAGTAAATAAACAATTAAAAATACTAGGCAAAAAAATTAGTGCAAAACTGCTAAAACTACAAAGACAATGGTCAAATGCATAGATAGAAGATATAAAAGGTTGAAAGAAGCTAGTAATAAAAAGAAAAAAGAAGGACTGAAAGTGAATACAAAGAAAACAAATAAAAGAAAATATAGATGAAAAATGTAAAATGATCAGAACAAATCAGAAAAAGATAATAGCAAACCTTTTGAATAGGCCTTATAAAAAAATAGTATTTGACAAATTTATCAAACAAACAAAAGAAAAAATGAATCTGCTAATAAGCTCAGAAGATGTTAGAACAGGAGTAGCAGAATATTATGAAAAACAATTTAGAAAAAGAAATACAAGATTAGAAGAGAGGAGTGTGGCAACCTAGTGAAGTGGATAGGTTGTTAACTCCCAAGTGGCAGGTCTAGAGTTCAAATCCTAGTGATGGCGAAAATTTGCAATTCATTCTGTATTATGGCTAACTGTCTTTTGTAATTGGTTAGGATAAAATACATGTAACCTATGTTATACCAGCATGACTGAAAGATCTAGGCACTTGTATAACATTGTACAAGAGAACACAAACCAGTACCAGGCAGTATGAACCCAAGATAAGTTCTTAGGCCATGTAAATCAAGGGAACCAGGTAGAAAGATGGAAGCCCACTTGGAAGACCTGAGTAGAGAGATAACCTGAACCTTCGACAGTGCTACTGTAAAGACTAGACTTATAAAATGAAGCTAGAACTTGTGAAACTGGGCAAATGTGTCAGTCTTTGAGGAGGGACTGGATGAACCAACCAGGCCACTGGAATTTCTGGATTTCAGAAAAAAAGGGTACATGCTAGCAAACATGTAAACCAGAGATATATGATTTCGACCTACCTTTCCAAGCTATCTAAAATGGCAGCTTGGTGGAACTTGAATTGAATATCAAAGTAGTAAGGATATGTTGTAAAGTTAGTACTGGGTTGAGGTGAACTCTACAAGGACATAGTGGTTTAATAGTATGTCCTGACTGCAAGTATTAGTCTTGGCTATAGTGATATCAAGTTAGCTGTAAGAATGGGATACAGAAGATTCTGGAAGGTTTAGTACAAGGTCAAAGGTTTCTCATATGAGTAAACTGCTTTAAAGACTTAGTGACCATGGCATATTTGAACTAGTATTGACCAGGACATCTTAGTAGGTGTAGGTTAGTAGGTGGATACAGGAACAGAGTAATTAAATAGGAAACTTACAAGTAGGTTTCAGGTATGGCAGCTAGTGTAAAACCTTCAGATGGACTACTTAAATTAAACAATAACTAAAGTTGTATGAGTGGCTAGTTGTATACTTTTTTCATAGTTGCTCCTTGTAGTTGTAATGCAACCATTAGCTAAATATACAATCAATAAAATCCTGGGTTGCAAGTACTTATTTTAATATTTAAAAAAAAAAAAAAAAAAAATTATTAACCTATCTACAAAAAATAAATAGGCCGAATCACTTGAATATATGCAGTATAGAATTGAAGATATAATTATTCCAGATAGGTTTGTCAATATAGCATTAGGATGTCTTGTTATGAATAAAGCACTAAATAAGGCATTAGGATGGAATCTTAAAATGGCACCAAATTTTTCTCTTAGATATAATCCTGATCATATAACGAAATTAGAAGGAGAATATAAGGATGTACCAATATTTATAAAATATAAAAATAAGTAAGTTACTGAAACAGGACATGTTGTTATTAATAATGAAAAACTTAATTACTTTTTTTGTTTAGAAATGCCATGGATTCGAAAAGTTCAAAGAATTCTAGATACAAACAAACATAAATTTTGAATGATAGTTTGTGAAAAATCTTATATTATTCCAACCTTTACTAAGCCAATTAAGGATAATGTTTTATCAAGCCTTTATACAATAGTGATTCAGAATAATAATTCAAAAAATCAAACTTTTGATTCCTTTACCAAGATTGATACTAAAGAGAAGCCAGCATCTAATGAGAAAAAAGAGTTCCAAGTTTCTGATTCATTTACTGAAGATCTAAAAAAAATATAATAGATTCTGACAAACAAATCGATTTCTTTTTTAGACTAAAATTCTATTTCAAGATTCAAATCATATCAGGTATGAAAAATCTAGAAAATAAAGCAACTATTAAAAAGGAATTTATTAGAGCTCTTGATTATGCAGAATATCTTAAAAAGAAATTAATATGATTTCAAAATTCAGCTTGAAGCTGTTTTTTATATTCTTGTAAATTTTCTATTCTAGCTTGCATATCACTCCCTAGTATTAATGAGAAGAATGATTTATAGTTTTTGATTTTGATTTTTTGCTAGTCTTTTTTGTTGCTGGTTTGCTCAAAGAAATTACTTGCTCAGGATTTCTGATACTTGATAAGCTATGTATGAGCAAGATTTCTGATTAAGGTATTGAGATAGATAAATTTATAGATATTATTTCTATTTCAGGTAGTTGAGGATATATCCAGCCATTTACAATATTATCATATCTTTCACTACTAATTTTATAATTAGCACATATAATGTGTTTTCTATTTGGTATCTGTTTTGCATGAGCATTTCTTATTTTTTTGATTGCTTCAGGAGTTAATGGAGTAGTAGTGGTGTTAAAATATTGTTGAACTCGAGATCTAACTTTGGTTTTAATCATTTTAGAAAAATATATATTGATATTAAAAAAATATCTAATTTAAATCTAGGAAAATATCTATTCATTTCTAGTATGTAATTGAATAAAAACCAAGTAATAATTAGGTAATAATTAGACACAAATCAGACAAAAACTGAAAAATAATTAGTACTAACTTGATTATAGATATATTTTTATATAAAACTGGTTTATTATTATTTTATGCCTAGCTAAGTATCAATTTTTGCCCAGCTAATTACTAACATCCACCTAATTATTGTCTGGTTAAATACCAATTATTATTTTGGTTCTTTTTTATTCATAATTAGTAAAAAGTCAAATTGCGATTAGTTTTTTTTCTTTGAACATAAATCTCTTCGATTATATGGCACCAATACATACTTTGTATAGTGAATCTACTAATGCCAAAAATTTTCAAAGACATAAATATAAATTAGATAATAATAGAGAACATGAACTTGAATCTCAATGCAATGAGTTGTTTCTTGAAACCAAATTTTTTGCTAATAAATATTCCAAATTTAGAAATGCTAAAGCTCTTGCAGAAGCATGATCTGATATGATTACTAAAGAGCTTGAAAAAAAAATGACAAGATTTTACATTTCCAGAAAAAAATAAATTAGTACATTAATGACAAAAATCAAAATGACTTGATTAAAAAACAACTCAAAGAAGAAATTAAAGAGTTAAAAAGCAAAAATACCAACCTTACTGAATATAAAGCCAAGTATTATAGTAAGTTGGAAGAAGCAAATTCATTTTAATCTAGAAACAAGTTATTGGAAAAAGAATTATCTTTAACTTAGAAATACTTATTAAAAAAAAATTCTGAGATAATGTTCCTCAAAGCAGAATTGGTAAATATAAAGATTAAATTAGATTCTAAGATCAGTAAGCTTGAGCATCTAAAATCAGAAAATATTTCAATATCTGTAATTGGTGGAGATAGTGAAAAAAATATATCAAAGTCTAGACCCAAAGGGTCATTGCTTTGCAATAATAATATCTCTGCAGTTAGTGAAACTAGCAAAAATCTTAGTCAATATTTTGCACACAGAAAAATTATGAACAAAGTCGAAAAAATTAGCACTAATATACTGACTCATGCCAATGATAAAATTGTTCCAATATTAGAATCTTCAAAAATCGATACTGAGGTTATTTCTAAGATAAGTAATAAAACTATTATTAATGAAAATAATAAAAATAATATATTACAACTAATTAATACAGAAAACTAATTTCAAAAGATAAAGAATGTAACTCTGATTAGATCTTATAATATTACAATAAGAAGAAGTAAGAAATTACCTATTATAGTATTAGGTGCTAGCACAGTTAATAAGTATCAAACTACTCCTATTAAGTTTGTTATTTTTGCCTTGATAATATTATTAATTATATGGTATATATACAGACAAATTTTTTGCCCAACCCTGCCTTCTTGTTCATTGAACTCGAAGCCAGATTATATCTATAGCATGACCACCTCTGGTAATTTGTTTTCTGAAATATATAAACTGACTATGAATAAACAAAGTGAAGTGAATTATTGAAGTAAAGAAAATTTTTATCCAGTATATAAAAAACAGAGTTATAGATTCCCAATCTATTATGCAAAAAAATTCAAAAATATCTCCTATGAAACTATTCTTTATGGATATGGATGAAGCTAATAAACATGTTGCATCTCATTGTTAATCTCATCCAGCTAGTCCAACATGGCTCTTTAGAATGATAGTTACAAGAAAAAGTGGATCAGATAGGACTAATATCTTAACAAATCTTTTTCTCGATAATAAAGCTGAATACATATATAAAGAAAAAAAGGTAATAGGAGATATATTTCTTGTAATGATTTAATAGTTTGTGGTTATCATCTTGATGAGCCAAAATAGACATTTATTAGATATATATATGGCATAATTTCAAAAAACCTGAAAGCATCTTACTATGAAAATATATGATTTAGCTATATATCATCAGAAAAATCTCCAATATAAAAGCATTTTCATCTGAATGAAGTACAACAATTGTTTTTAAGGATTTGTGTCTTGCTTCAGAATATATACAGAATTGAATTGGCTAATTTTTTGGAAATAGGCAACATTGAAATATTTCATGTATATTTGTAATACAGAAATATCATAAAATCACTACATTTATGTGTAAAAATACTAATTACTTAGTACTCTTTAATTCTGATAGTTTATATGAAGATGTTTCTAAAATTATTCATAGATATACAGATGATGTAAAAAATGCATTAATGGTTATTAATAGCTACTTACGCAAAGGCAAATTTATTGTATTTAATCTAGATAGGTCTGAGAATAATTTACTTGCAATTTAGCTAAAGTTTGATACTTCACTAGATTTGCAAAAAGAGATAGAATTACAGCAAAAATGCAAGATAAAAAATATATTACTTGCTGAACCCACTTTATAGATTTTTATTTCACATTAGTATTTTCTATTCCAGAAATTTCATAATATATTTCTTAATTGTAATCTTAAAAATAGCATTATTGCAAAGCAATAAGGCTCTGCCTCTAGGAAAATGGTAGACAACTACCTATCTATATCTTTAAGAGTATTAATAGAACTAGTACAGCCAAAAAATATTATATAAATAGTATAGGTATTTTGTACCTGCAAAGAATTAATAAATCGAATAAATACTATGCTTCTATCTCTAAAAGTCACTTTTGGAATCTAATCTGCAATTAACTCTTTTTGCATTCTATCCAATTATTCAGAATATAATATTCTTTATATTGTCTATTAATAATGAAACTGCACATCATATAATTGTTTTTATATAATTTAATTCATTTAGTATATCACTAATTAAATTGTTTTCGAGTCTAAGAATTTTTCATTTCATGCCTTATTAAATCTAAAAATTTCATATCATCCAGAGTATTATTATTTTCTAAGCTGTTCCAAGCAAGTCATGCATTCGATGGTACTTTTTCTTGAAATCAACTTTATGTCTGTTGAATAATTCTTGCTGAACCATCTCTAGTTCTAGCTTTATCACATCTGTAATCTCAATATTCCTATATCAGGTTTTTAGGTTCAAAATTTTCTATATATCTACCTCTAGTATGATGAAATTTCTTTTTTAGCTTTATATTATTAATCTGAATAAGCTTTATATAATCAAGACAAATTGCTATATGAGTTTTATAAATTCTAGGTTGGTAGTAATCATGATCTAATATAATTAGCAACTCTTTTCATAGATCACTTATACCAAAAAACACAAAAAAACATTTAATTATTTCTCAATATTTTACTAAGTAAACCTTACTTGACCTCTTAAGTAAAGTTGTTTAGCACACTTTTTCACTCTTAGGCGGCTGTGTTTCAAGTCCTGATAACACTTGAGTGCCGGGAAAAGTCACAAAAACTATTTTTTGGTTTTTGTCTATTTATTCAATATTTTACTAATTAAATCTATTATACTGCCTATTCAAAAGTTGTTCAGCTCACTGAGCCGGACATTTTGATAT